GCAGCCACCATGCCGGTGAGATGCTGCACTTCTTTGACTGAGTTTGGTCTCTCCAACTCCTGGATCGCTCTGATCTGAGAGGGGTCTGCTTTTATGCCTCGGTTGGTTACCAGGAAGCCCAAGAATTTGCCAGATCCCACGCCGAAGGCGCACTTGGATGCATTGAGGCGCAACTTGTGCTTCTTCAAGACTTCAAACATTTCTCCCAAGTCCTTGAGATGGTCATTCGCATCCTTGCTTTTGACCACCATGTCATCGATGTAAGCCTCCATTGTTTTGCCTAACAATGGTTCAAACATCTTGGTGACCATTCGTTGGAATGTCGCCCCTGCGTTCTTTAGGCTAAAGGGCATGACCTTGTAGCAATATAGTCCTCTTGGTGTTGTAAAGGATGTGACCTCTTGGTCTGGTTCATGCATGGCGATTTGGTGGTAGCCTCTGTATGCATCCAGAAAGCTAAGTCGATTGTATCTCGCCGTTAGGTCAACCAGTTGATCTATCCTTGGTAGAGGAAAGCTATCTTTTGGGCACGCCTTGTTGACTGTTTTGTAGTCGACGCAGACACGCCATTTGGCATTCTTCTTTGGCACTACTACTGTGTTGGAGATCCACCTTGGGTAGTGCACTTCTCTAATTGCTCCTGCCTCCAGCAGGTTACCAACTTCTTCTGCCACTATTTCGGCATGGTGAAGTGCCGACCTATGAGTGCGCTAAATGATTGGTCTGGCGGATGGGTGGACATTGAGTTGGTGACAGATGAAGTTTGGGTCAATGCCTGGCATGTCGTAGGGTGTCCAGGCGAACACTTCGATATTAGAGGTTAAGAATTCCAAGACCTCTAATCTCTCAGTGCTGGACAACGACGAACCGAGCAAAAAGAACTTATCCGGGTTCTTTTCATCTATTTTTACCTTTACCAAGTCCTCTACCGCTTTCTGATCCGCCGCTTTGCCGACATCTGCAAATAGTTCATTACTTTCTGGTTCTTCCACCGAATGAACGTATCCTTTGGCAGCGCGACTGCCATTCACCGTGGCGAAGCATTCTTTTGACATGATCTGATCCCCATAGACTTCTTCAATTATACCAGTGTCGTTGGGGAACCTCATTACTTGGTGGTAAGATGATGCCACCGATCGCATGGCATGCAGCCGTGTTCTGCCCAGGATGATGTTGTAAGTGGAGGGGACCTTCAATACCCAGAACTCCACTTGTTTTGTCACGTTTCCTGCTCTGACTGGAAGAATTATCTTGCCGACGGGCCATTCTAGCATGGAGTTGAATCCAATCAGGGGAGACACGGCAGGCGCCAAGTCTTTGTCTTGCAACTTGGGCTGTTTGAATGTTTCATAGTACATGATCTCACATGAACTACCCTGGTCAATCAGAATCCGCTTGATGTCAAAATCCTTGACTCGGAGAGTGACGACCAAGGCATCATTGTGGGGGCAGTATATTCGATCTAAGTCTCTGTCTGAAAAGGACATGACGTTTGTTGCCTCTGTCTTCGCCTTCTTAATGGCAGGTTGGGCACTTTGCACTTCTCTAAAGTGCTCAGCCTTTTTGATTGATCCCTTGAGCTCGCATACACGCTCAGGTTCAAAGACTCCATGTATTACATTGATGATGCCTTATGGTGGGGCGTCAATCGACATTCCATTGGGGTTGTTATGATCCTGAGGGGCTGGCTGTGTCCCTCCTTCAATGTATTCTCAGTTCGGTGCCCCTTTTCTTTGTGGAAGGTGCACCGTGATCTGTCGTCATAGTCTTTCTGAGCCTCTCCTAGCTTGGCTGGCCACTTGACGAAAGGCTCGTCTCTTATTTCGCTCAGAATCCGATATATTGGTTTTTTGAACACCGTTGTTATGGCAGTGCGGATTCTCAACCATCTTTTGTCTGGGTCTTCTTGCCTTGTGGTGGGGCGTCAATCGACATTCCATTGGGGTTGTTATGATCTTGAGGGGCTGGCTGTGTCCCTCCTTCAATGTATTTGTCCAAGTGACCTGCCGCTACCAACTCTTCCAAGTGCTGTCTCAACGGCGTGCAATTCTCAGTTCGGTGCCCCTTTTCTTTGTGGAAGGTGCACCGTGATCTGTCGTCATAGTCCTTCTCCTAGCTTGGCTGGCCACTTGACAAAAGGTTTGTCTTTTATTTCGCTCAGAATCCGATATATTGGTTTTTTGAACACCGTTGTTATGGCAGTGCGGATTCTCAACCATCTTTTGTCTGGGTCTTCTTTGTTATCTCGTTTGCCACGCCCGTTTCTATTCTGACGATCTACCGTATTGACCTTTGCTGAGGTTTTCTTTTCTGGTACTGCGGTCGCACTAGATTTCGCTTTGGCATGTGCGCCATCCTCTTCTACCCTGATGTGCTGATGCACTCTCTCCATCAGGGCTTCCATGGTAAGGGGTGGCGTCATGGTGATTGAGTCCTTCAGTCTGTTCCCGACTGGAAGGCCTCTTTTATACTGGGCAATGGCAAGATTGGTGGGGCAGTCCCCGATCTGATTGAATGTTTCCTAGTAGCGACTGTTGTAGGATCTAAGGGTCTCTTTATCCCCCATGTCGATGGAGAGTAACTGGTCGATCTCCACCGGTGTTTTAGTGTTTGTTCGGAACCTTGTTACGAACGCTTCTGCCAATTGAGCCCAGGAGGCTATGCTGCCCTCTGGAAGTTTTTCGAACCAAGTCAAGCCTAGGTCGCCAAGGCTTGATGGGAAGAGTATGCACATTAAAGCCTCGTTTCGCCTGTAAACGACCATGACTTGGTGAAAGTGGCTCAAGTGCGAGTACGGGTCCGTCTTCCCTTCATATGTAGTGAATTTCGGCTGAAGGAAGCCTGTTGGTAGGGGCGCATTTTCGATCGCCGGAACAAACGGTGAAGTCTGTAGTCTTGCTAAGGCTTTGTCCGTTGGTTCATATGCTGGGCGCGGTATTGGCATTCCAACCTCGACGCTTCCATGCGTCCGAGGAGCCAACCGCTGTAAGGCAGAGACTCTGTGTGGATCTCGCGCCCTGGCATCCTCCTTGCATCGTGATTTTTCTTCGAGCACGGTTCGTAAGTCGGATGATCTAGGTAGCTCTGTCTGTCTAGATCTGGTTTGGTGCGAATGCGAAGGCCAATATGTGCTTCCTTCAGTGTATGATCTTTCGGATCTCGTCCTCTCAGACCTGGAGTGACGAGTCCTGGAAGATAAGGAATGAGTGTCGCCTGTCCTGAGGCTTCTGCTCTCTCCTTGGGAGGATGTAGTATTCCTACTACGATTTTCCGAGTGGCGAGAGGGCGTTTTGTTTTTGCGCCCCTCTCCTGTCGCCACTTCTTTTTTCTTCATCTGGCGTTTCAAAGCCTCCATGTCCGCCGCCATCTTCCGTATTAGTTCATCTTGCTCCTTCACGCGTTCTTCCAGAGCTTGAGGATCAATCCTTCTCCTCTGCCTGTCAGGACTTTGAGAGTGACGAGGGCTGTTATTCCTCCTTCCCCTGCCACCCCTTCTGGAGTTATGTTGTTGGGGCTCCAAGTCCGCCATGGGAGGGACAGAGGGTAATCCTTCACGTCTTGCGCCCCTATCCGGAGTTAGCCCGTCGACGGCGGACTGCGACAATTCTTCAATGTGTGCCATTGATTAAGAAAAGGAGAAGCTTAGTCAAGAGGTTTTTGTTCTTGTCTGTTTTTCCCACAGACGGCGCCAATTGTACGGGAAAGAAATACACCTTCTCGTATAATCCTGTTGACCAAGTCCACGCTTCTCCGTACGACGTCACTTTATCACTTGAAAACACAAATGTGAGCTAGCCGGCGGGTGTGTGCCGGAAACCTCTCCGATGCCTAAGTCAGAAAACTTGACTAATAGACAAAGCTCAATGTTCTCAGAAAGCAAAATTATGTTGTGTTCTGTTACCTCCTTCAAGGTGATGCTTGTGAGCTTTTATAGGTTTTGTCTGGCACAATCCTAGTAGGACTTGTACTCCTCTTATGCAGAGTCCTCCTAGGATTCATACTTCTGAAAGATAATGCTTATCCTTCCACACCCCCCTCACTACTTAAACCAAGTGAGATGGTTTGTACCATGGCCGAATTACAATACGACCGAAATAATCTGACTATGTAGAGCCACTAAGTAGGCCGAACTCCCTTAGTTCGGTTTTGCTTTTACCCTTCCTTATCTCGGTTCTCTCTTGCTCAACCCATGGCACGGTTGGAATAAACTTAACCAATTGTGACCGGTGTAACTCCTAGGTCGGTCTAACTCAAAGGCACTGTCAGGCCGTCCTATTCAGGGGACATCACGACCGGACTAAATCGGCGACCGGACCTACTCCAAGCTACCCCTGACCGGCGTAACTTTACATCATCTTGGACCGAAGTAACTTTATCCCTTCTTGGGCCGGAGTAACATTACGGCCTTTTACTGAGTCCCTCCTACTTTGGGCCACAAAGTCCAAAAATTACCCTCTCAATCATCAAATAAACTACTAGTTAACAATAGTTAGAAACTTAACAAAGTCTAATAATCAATCCACCAAGTCCACCAAGCAAAACCCAACAACCATCATAATGAGGGAGAAATAAACCGACCACCACAAAGGGTATCAAACTCATCTCTATAGGAAGAGTCACTACAGGAAAATTGATTTTTAGCGGCGTTTGAAAAACGCTGCTATAAGCCTAAAAAATGCCATTATAAGTTATGGTGACGTCTAATATTTTCGTCGTTGATACAGCCGCCGTAATAATTTTACAACGTTTTAAAAATGTCACTAAAAACATTAGACGGCGTTTTAAAAAACGTCGCAAAAACTTTGACGTCCACTACCATTTCCGTTACAAAATATCGTATGACGTCATTTAGTGACGTTTTTTCAAAAACGCCACTTCCTTTTCTTTTTTCTTTTTTTTTTTTTTGAAATATACCATAAAACAGAGCCAATTTAACTAAGAAGAAAGCTTGAATATAACATATACAATATGTGATTTGGCAAAAAAAAAATCACAAAAAATTCAATCTCAAACCACACTCTTGAAGAGAACAGAATGTGACAAGAAGATGCTAGCTTGTCAAAGTCATAGCTACATAAAGGCAAATGAGAAGAATACAATATCTTAGTATACACTGAAAAGAAAATTACAACAAAATAATAATTAGCAACTGTCCACAGATAATTAGAAGTCTGACTCAGCTGTAAGTTGCAACAACAATGGCTGGGGGTAATATTTCTGCACCTCATGGATTAAATGGGACCCAAATCTGCATTAGAATCATGAGCATGCAGGAATGTCAAAGATGGATATAACTGTTGATCCCTTCAAGATATTAATGTAAGAACATCATTTCTAATTCTTTCTCCATTAAATGGTTTGCTAAAAGACAAAGAAGATAATAATTTTTAAACTTTCAAATCCAAACTCTTTTTTTCCGATAAACAATCAAATTTGAAATATTTTGTTTCAGTAAATTCTTAACTATGTACGAATAATTTGCACCTTTCATCTCATATTAAGAACAAGGAGACAGATATACCTTTGATGTATTGTTCAATTTTTTAGCTTCAGTTGAGGTGTTTCTGTTACCCTTTGGAGTAGACAAAGCAGCCAAAAATTTTGAATTTTTGTCCTCATTATAGGAAAGATTAATTGAAGGAAGAAGGCTGGAAGGGATTGTGAGCAACTCACCAAAATTGAAACTTAATGTGCTGATAAGTGCCTTATTGCAGATCACAATTGATACTGATGAAGCCACCGAAAGAGTCAAAGATTCAACAGTCCCAAGTTGAAACCTCTAGCTCTCACTCATCTTCTTCTCCTTCTCTAATTACACCACCTTCATTTCAACCAAACACAACAAACCATCAAAACCCCAAGTTTCACAAAAAAAAAAAAAAAAAAAATTCATCTCATATTAAGAAGAAAGAGTGAAACTACCTACAATGAGATAAATTATATTGAAATTCAAAGCTTCTGCAAGGAATGTTTCGAAAGAGCACGAAGTGGATAGCAAAACCAACTCAATTTCTTCAAATTCAGCATGCAATTAACACCAAAAGAGGAATCAAAGTAGTTTTTAGCTCAAATTAAGAAGAGAATCAATTTAACAAAAAACAATCTAATTATAGCCAGATTTGGTTTAAATTACCAAATCCTCACAATGGGCCTTTGTTTTGATAATTTATTACATTGACCACAGGAAATATAGCAGCATGACAGTTGCACTTCAACAAGGTGAATTTACCAAAAAGCCTAAAAGATTTCAAATGTGCTAGAAAAATTAATCATCAAATAATGGAACAATATCCCTCTAGGTTGCTCTGTTTCATTGTTTTCTTCATCACTTATTAAAGGAAGTTATAAGGCTGTGTTGGTTATATTCAACTACACAGAAGCACCTAATAGACAATCTTTAACCTCTCCAGTTTGCAAGGCGAATTGCTTTATTTATGCTTATCTAAATTGAGGTGCTTGATTGTAATAGAATTACAAAACTGTAGATACCTTCTGGATGTAATTGATGACCCCTTCATCTCTAATTTTATTCCCACATTGGTCAACCACATTAAACATTGAAACAACAAATTTTGAAGAAGAAACAATATAAGAAACAAAAAAGGTGAAGCTCATAAATCTTTTTTCGAATTTGCTTGTGACAGTTAAAGAAGAAACTATACCATCTATAAATCAACCCCCATTAGATGAGATATGCCTTCCTAATAACAAGGTTCAAATTAGTAAGAACTTGGACAACTGCCAGGAGAATCCCATGCTTGTTGACACTATCAACCTAAATAAGATGCGCCATCTATAATGAGAAAGTCGAAAAGCAAATAGACCAACCAAAGCAAATAGACCAACCAAAGCAAAACCAAATACTCAACCTCAATTTTTAGAAACCTTGCCAACCATATCATCGGAGAGCGAAGGCATAGGTCCTACCTGGATAACAGTTGCATCCTTGCAAGTATTATTGTCAATTACAACTCTGCAACAACAAGAGGCAACTCAATTAAGGAACTACCCACATCCCCTCTCTCTCTCTCTCTCTCTCTGTTTCTCTCTCTCATACACAAAAATCCAAAGATGAGGAGAATCAAATAGTAAAAACCAGTTAAGGCTCTTGAAAAGAGGTAAAATTCAATAAATTTTGAAGCACAAAAATCACTTTGAGATCAAATCATAAAACCTCTATATATAAAATACACGATTTATCATACTTGTTTTGGGTGGGTACAATTTATCATACTTGAAAACCATAAAACATGTGAAACCTCAATCCTAGCAATTCAAACCACAGGGACTTGAAAACTGAAATGAAATGTCCTATGTTAAGTTACTAAAAACTTGAAAAGTGAACAGACTAGCACAATATTAGCAAGTCTGGATATTAAGTTAAAAACAGAAACATGAAAACAGAAATGAAGTCTCCTATGTCATGGACAGTTTGCAAATTCATATCACTCATGTAAATAGTAGGTGCAATGGCCTTGGAATTTAGTGTCACAGAGGGAAGCCCCTGATAAAATTCATTCAATCAAGCAAACGACTACACTCGTAATATATATATATATATATATATGTGGAATAGCCTAAAAGGAATGAAAATCATGCCAAAAAAAGACAGTAAGTTTATAAGAAAGAACACTTACAAGACCAAATACCTTAGTAGCTCACATGGAGTCTCTGCCACTAACTTGGATAGATCATGATCGTTCTGGAAAACAACCAAGTAAGCTACTAAAAGTTCTTAGCCAATATAACTATAAGCAAAGTGAAACCAAATACTCATCAAGAACTTAAAGCAATTAGATAACAAGAAATTGGTTAGTATCGCTGTCAACCAATGAACTTGAAGAGCACATCCTATCCATTAAGAATGCCATTTTTAAATACCAAATGAAATCCAATAAGAAATAGATTCATATCAAATAGCGTTACAAATATCTATCTGCACAAGAGTCAAAAGAAGAGCTCACTTCTAGTAGATATCATGCCCGTCTTAAAAGCCCAAACCTGTCCATATCTCATTTACCTCTTAGAGAAAACAACGAAATTATGACTGAGAAACTTCAAGTAGAATTAAAACAGAGAAATCATCACAGCAAAAGCATCTGCAGGTCTTATTCAGACAAGTACATAACACTGAAGATTACACCCAATATCGACAAGGTACATGCATATTTGATTGTTGGAAATCTACCCTCAATTATAATTCAAATACATAAATTCAAGTACATACACACACTCACAAACATACAGAGAAAACTTAAAAAGACATTACTAGCATTGCCGTGGCTGTCTCTCTTGAGTTCCCATCAATACGAAGCATAGTGCCGGCCTCATTGCAAAACTGGTGAACAAAATCTGGCTGCTGCTGAAGTACCTGGTAATACTGCCCAACAAAGTACATCCCAACCTGAAATCCAAAGACCCATTTTTTTTAGAGAGAAAAAGAGTGAATATATATATAGAGAGAGAAAGGACCTGAGCAGCAGTGATGGACACGTGAAACGGAGTAGCCATGACGAGTCTCGAGGGGCTCTAAAACCCTAGAGCTCCAATCAAACCCTAGATTGACAATGCGGTGGCGACTCCATCGTAATCGTCATCGTCCTCCTCATCATTCACTCTCTCCCCTGAACTGTCCTCACCATCATTTTCTCTATTACTCCCGCGAATCAACCTATCTCCTCTCTTCATCTTGCTGCGACTCGACTGATCTTGATCTTGGTCCCTGTTTCAACCAAATCGATTCAAGAATCGATGGATCTGAACAAGTAATCGGAATCGAACCTGGTGAATCTCTCAAGGAGAATGAAGAGAGACAGAAAACCCTAGATCTTGGACGGTGACAGAAAACGAGAAGATAGAGAAATGAAGAGAGAAAACAAAATCAATGGATCTGAATCGATGGAACTCCTAATCGATGGATCTGAACAAGTAATCGGAATCGAACCTGGTGAATCTCTCACAGAGAATGATGACAGATAGAAAACCCTAGTTCTTGGACGGTAACAGAAAACAAGAAGAGAGAAAGCAAAATGACGGAAAGCCAAATGGAGACTGAGGGAGACAGAGCACGGTACAAAGTTGAATGCGTGTCTTTTAATATTATTTTATGTCTTCCACAACATTTTTCAATAAACGTTGTCTAACAAATGTGGTTATAGCCAATTATTGTTGTAGTGAGTGCTCCGATTAGCACTCCATTAATTATTTTGGATGCCCATTTCTTTGGACCCCCACTTATAAATAGTAAACCTTAAAATTTCTTCTCCCCCAAATAATACCAAAATTATCCTGGTAAAAATATTACATCCATTCAAATGCATACCCCCACTCCCCCCTACACTCCAAAAAGCTTATCTCCGAAAACCTTAACAAAACCCACGACGGTAGAACCTCCCGAAACCAGTGAAAAAAAAATTATGGTGATTAAGAAGTTTTTTTTCTCATTCATTACAAATTTTGTCAATCTGTTTGATTTTTTCTCTCTATTACTTATTTTCACACACACACAATACAAACCACTTTCATACTTCTCTAATTAGTTTTTTGTTATTCGTCTATGGCCTCACTATACTTGTATGCTCTCTGTGTAAATAAAATTGGGCAAGATTTCACCCATCGGTCGACCTCCCGGTCGACCACTCATGGGTGGTCCGACCTCCTTTGTTTACCTTCTTCTACTGTTGTTTCGACTATTTGTTCCTGAACAAATAAATAATGCTCGGCCCTGTATTTCAAAATTTTGGCCATATATTCAGGAATTCAGTCATGAAAAAATGACGAATTGTTTTTATTATTTTTGCTATTTTTTTTTAAGAAACTTATCCTTACAAGGCCAATCTTCTCTGAGTTAAGAATACCATCAAAGTTATGAACCTCTTCTGAGTTTTTATTGTTGTACTCCTCTCATTTCATAGAGTTGTGGTTGCCAAAAAAAACTCTCACTCATTGTCATTGCAAGAGAAGTGTATGTAATCAATTCCTTACCATCATTGCCATCGAAATATTACCGTCAAAGGGTTTTCAAGATTTTGAGGGTAGGTAGGTTTTGAAGGTGGGATTTGAGGAAGATGGATGGGTGATGATGGCAGTGGGTGCTCTCATAAACTCTAACACATGATGTAGTAGGTGTGTGAGTTTAATTATGAGATGGGGTGTTCCAAAATTATTAATGTCTTTTTTAATAATTTCATTTGAAGTTATTATTGTAATAAAAAAAATTAAAAATAAAAAATAAAAGATCTAAAATAATTGATGAGATGCTAATAACAACACTATTATAAGAGTTCAATTCGTGATCTCACACCAAGAAAATACTATACAACTATTAGACCAAATATCTAGTTAAAATTTGGTTGTTATGGAGGTCAAATCTTGGAATTTTTTAACAGTTTGATTGGTACTTTTTAGGTTTCGATATTTTCAATTTTCCTATACAGTTTCATAATAAATTTGATAAAGTTTTTGAAGTTGTGATGAATTTTATGACGTTGAATATTTGGGGTGATTCTATTGGATCATTAGAGGGGTTTAATTTTGTACAGTCCAAATAACACATTTGGTATAAAGGGAAATTTTATGAGTGTATTTGGATGCTTAATTGTAACAATGAACTACAAATATATTTTATAATATGTTTGAAGTATAGATTTGAGTAGAGATTTGAAAAGGAAAAGAAAAAAAGTATGCGAAATGTGAATAAAATATAATTACATTTCACACACATTTTCTCTTTTTCTTTCTAAATTTCTATTCAAATCTATACTCTAACACAATTTTAATTATGGTGTTTGATAAGGGTGGGGATGTAATTTGACATCTTAGTTTGAACTAAATGAATTTAATACCATATAACTTTATCAATTGTTCATTGTATAATGTTAACGTGGGTTGATATTGTGTAACTTTAGCCAATCCCTTTCTTTAACTGACCCCAAATATTAGGGTTGAGAAATGGTATCTGGTTATTTTGGGTTGTATCAGTGTCAAGTTATTTTAAATTTGTGTTAAAATCTTCTCAACACCAATTTAACCCATTTAACTAATCGTATCAATACTATAATAAAAATAAAAATAAAAATAAAAAGAGTAAAAATAAAAAATTAATCGGATCAAATATCTTGACCTTATAACGCTTGTACATAACATAGATGACACAATTAATGCATACCAAATAACAAAGACCTTCAAAGACTCCGATTGAGCTAAAACAAAATAAAAATCTAATTAAAAAGAAAATAAAAAAATATAGAATAGGTGAATAGCAAATTCATTTCTACATTTATTTAAAGAACATAATATTATTGAATAAAGTGAATAGAGTGAGTTTGATATTCATATAAAAATTAGATTAAATGGAGTAGTTGTATGAAATTTGTATTACGCAACTCTGACAACAACTCAACCTATTGATTTTTTGTTTTATAATGTCATGTTACTTTTAAATTTGTATAGCTAGTATTAATATGTTGTCTCATTCAGCCCCTTCGAAACATCATACTACTTATTTAATTTTGTGTATTAAAACTTTGCTCCATATTCATGAATTGAATAGAATAATTGGGACCCTCAATTGGTGAGAACTCCAAACAAATAGAATGTTTACTCATAATTGAACTCGATTTACACAAAAGTGACTTAAGGTAAATAAACATCGTCATCTTATTAATATAGGAAGACCCATATTTATACTTTCCTAAGTGACACATTTATATTTGTGTTAAATACAAGTATTAAGAAAGTCGACTCAAGCACATGATAGATACCCTTTATTAATTATTCATCTTAAATTGTTTGAAAATCATTTTCAAGAAAATTCTTTCTTACAAACAATTTATAAAGTGAACCCTAAACATTATTATTGTTATGAGTAATGAAAATGAAAGTGATATATTTTTGGTTGTTGCTATACTTGGGCCCACGAAAATGTATAAATGTCTCATTCCATTTGGATAGGGCTCCAAATGTGTGGCAATTAAACAACACCGTCATTGTCTTCTCAACTGCACAACCGTTCATTTTGTTTTTGTGCTTTAATTATTGAAGTAAAAGTTTTTTCCCTCCATTATTCATTACGGCCTTATTGATTGCTATGTTGGAGAAATTTATATTTTATATTGAAAAAATGTTACACTTTAAATTTGTATAGAAGACACATTGTCTGCATTTCATACATCAGTCTGTGTTTTGAAAACAAAGCATTTAATTTAGTAGCCACTCACATTAATTTGCAACTTAAATTTGTAAATTTGCAAGTTTTTATTTTTATTTTTATAACATTACTCTTATAAATCATGTTAGAAAATTTATTTTAGGGGATGCAACCTCTACTTTTACTTAAGAAGCTCAAAAAGTAATATTTTTCATATATATATATATAACTCAAAAATTGAAATAGTTTATGTATCTATACTAGTATATAAAGCATACTTTCCATCACAGATTTTTTATTTTATTTTTGGACAAATTACACTAATAGTCCCTATAGTTTGGGACTCGTGTCACTTTAGTCTCTGACTTTTCAATTGTGACACATTTGATCCTGAATTTTGAATCTTGTTTCAAATAAGGACAATTGAACATACCATTGCTTAATTTCAAGGGCAAAATCGTCAATTTGATAAAATATAAACTAATTTGACAAAAATAAATGTCAAAAAAATATTTTAAAATTTTTAAAAATTATTTATACCCATCAAAGATAAAATTATGTAAAATTAATAAAAATTACATGATTAATTTTTTAAAATTAATTTTGCATGACCATCATCCAAATACATAATAAAAATTAATTTAGTAAAAAAAAAATATTTAAAAGATTTATCAATTTTATATAATTTTTTCTTTAGTAGATAGAAATAATTTTAAAAAATTCAAAAATAATTTTTTGATATTTATTTTTGTCAAATTAATTTATATTTTATCAAATTGACGAATTTGCCTTTGAAAAATCCAATAGTATCTTCAATTGTCCTTATTTAGAACAAGATTCAAAATTTAGGGTCAAATGTGTTGCAATTGAAAAGTCAAGGACCAAAGTGACACAAACCCTAAATTATAGGGACCATTGGTGTAATTCACCCTTTATTTTTAGGGTATGGCTTCTGTCCAGTCCGGGATTGGACTGGACCGTGTTGTTCGGCCCGTGGGGGCCCACCACGGGTCCCATTTTGATAATCTGAACCGTTCAATGTGTAGAAATTGTCGAGTACTATATGCCTGTAAAAAATCACGTTGATCGGATATCGATAGTTATGTGATCAAAACAGTTTTTTGTCAATCGTTAATTTGTTCACCGTTCAATTTTTTTAATACGAAACTGATTTGATCATATAGCTATCGATATCTGATTAACGTGATTTTTTAAAAGCATATAGTACTCGACGAATTTTACACATTGAATGGTTCAGATTATCAAAATGGGACCCGTGGTGAGCCTCCACGGACCTAACAACACGGTCCAGTCCGATCCCGGACCGGACAGAAGCCATACCCTTATTTTTATTCTTCTTCTTATGTAGCCGCTTTGTAATTATACATCGGTAACTGCAAATTATAAGTACATCGTGTAGGTATGTACAAATTTTAGTATATATATGGAAGGTCCAAGGTGAATTATCCTATGGAAACCAGTTCAAAATGTTACAATTCATTAATAGTTTCAAATAAACAGTACAATATTTACATATACAACGCAATACAAATCACAATTTAAGATTAACTATATTTAGCACCTTTACATTTTTATAAAAAAATCTTTCTTCGATCGCATTACTTTCGATTGTGATAGATAATCTTTTATATTTTAAGTCAAGTTACAAAATTACCTTTATATCCATCTAACGTTAATAAGGCTGATAGAACTAGTTATGTAAGTTATACTCATTATCTTCTAGTATTGTTAACATCCATTCACTTTCATCAAAATTTTACTCTAGTTTTTACATTTTTAACAAAATCTTACTTTGATTTTTACACTTTCACTAAAATTTCACTTTGGTCTTTTAGTTGTTAATTCCTGTTAGCCTTATTAATGCTATTAGTGCTAGATGGAAAGAAGAGTGACATTGTAATTTTACTTAAAATATATGAAGTTAACTGACATAATGGAAAATAAAGAGATC